ATGCTTCCCCTGTACTTGTAGAACTGAAATCTTGTAACTGCCTCATCTCCACGGGGAGGCGAACACGTGAGCCGAACAGACTCCCCGGTGAGGTACAGCTGGTGCGGGGGGGCTCAGGGAGAGGGTGGGGGCTGCCGGGGTGTCTGGAAAAGACAACGGGTGAGATTTCACTGCAGCAGAAGGGGCGCAGAGCCAGGAGAAGGAGATGCCGGGAGAAGGTTGTTACTGGCTGACAGTAGTGGGGGGAGGGGACACCCATAGAGTAATCGTTGCCCCCTTGCAATCCCACTGTACCCCAAACTAGCATCACACCACACCCCAATATTACACTGCACCCCAACATAGAATCACGCTGCACCCCCGCATCATACCGCAACCCAATAGAAGAGGAAATTTCAGCCCTAGACATCTTCACACTGCACCCAGTATGGAATCGACCTGCAACCCGATGTACCCGTCAGGTTATTCACCCCATTTTCTCCATTCTGGGGGCAGAGGCAGAAGATTGGGGAGAACCCATCAGCCGACCATCAGACCTGCCTTGCCGTAGCTAGAAAGTACTGCACAGAAATGAGGAAGCCAGTGTGGATGTGGGGAAGGGAGGGGGGAGTTTTTCCACCCACAACGTTTCCTCTCACTGCTCCCCTGTATCTCGCTGAGCCCCAACCCTGCACTGTGCCCACATGTTTCCCAGCAGGAGGCAGGGCCTCTGTGTGTGGGATCCGCTGTCTGGACTGGGTTGCCCAGTGCACAGCAGGGGTACGGGACGAGTTGTCTCTGCCTCAGCTGTGAGCATCAGCCGGTCACTCCATTGGGACCAGGGACCTCTTCAGAGACCAAATCCCTGCTTTGAGAGAAGAATTTGTATCCTATGGTGCGTTCACCCCCGAATGCCGAGCACCTCAGGGTAGCACCTTCCCCTCTGATACACAAAGACAGCAGAGGATCCTGGCGTACTGGTGCCAGCAGGGGGTCAGGGTAACATGACAGTAACCAATCCCTGCCTGATAGAAATCATGACTGAGGAATCCAGGCAGCTGCAAAGATGAAGATTCACAGTGGTTGGCCCTGACAGTGCCCAGCTAGGCCTTCAGTATTGTGAGCTTCCACTGAGCAGCCCACCTGGGACCCCAGGGCTGGAGCTACCCCACAGCGGTGCCCTCTCAGTGCCCATTCTTTGCAGTCAGGTGGGACCCCTGTGCCCACCACAGTGTCTGAGATGCAGGGAGTGGCCCTGACTAGAGGCAGGGAGTGAAGCTGAGGTGTTGTGGTGTGTGACTCTATGTCAATTTTCTATTAATATGGTGCATGCCTCAGTTTCCCCTATGTGCTGCATGGGAAATGTTTACTCTTTATAGAGACACAGATATTGGATGTGGCTGATGCAGACTGACCCAGATGGACTTTGCTGTAACTTTCTGTTCTCTACGGTAACTAAGGACTTTCTACGCTGTTTCCGAAATAGCCAATAAACCTCCCGCTGTTACCGCACTAGCTTAAGTTTAAGGTTTAAGGAAGTTTAAAGGAGTTTAAGGAAGGTGGGGGAGCGTTGCTCCCTTTGGGGGTGCAAGTGTCTGTCTCAGGTGTGCAATGAGGTGGTGTCGCTGCGGGGAGCTCGAGGCGTGACCCAGGAGTGCTGAAGGCTCCAAGGTTCAGTCCCAGGAGGTGCTGCAGCCAAATGGCCCCTAGTGAGACTGTGACGCTACGGGGGCTGACACATGGAAGGGGCCCTCCCAGGGACTGCTCCAGAGCGGTTCTAGAGCACCGCACCTGAGGCTCTGTCACAGGATGGGTGTCAGATCCCTAGAGACTCTCCCATTAAACAGCAGGAAAAACAGGGGCTCACCTGTCACTGGGATGGAGATGGAGTTGCTGTTCCTAGATGAGATCTCTCGATTGGATTCCCATCTCCAATACGCACAGGTGTATGTCCCAGCATTTCCCTTCTCAGCTGTGAGCTCCAGCCGGGCGCCTTCATTTGGGTGTTGGACTACACTGGGGTCCTGCTGCCCTTCTTGATAGAAGAATCTGTATCCTGAAACCTGCTCACGTCCAGGAGCCTTGCACGTGAGGGTAACCCGCTCCCCTGGGAGATACACTGTGTACTCGGGGTACCGAGAGAGTGTGGGGGGCTGGCGGGCGATCTAGAACAGAGGCAGAGGGGTCAGTGGAGCTGGAGAGGCCATGATTGAATGAGGAGAAGGGAGAAGGGAGGGGGAAGAGATGATCCTGGACAGACATGATCACAGCCAGCCTCATCTCACTGCGCGGCACCCACCCCCACGCTGGGAAATACACCACGGCAAATAAACCATGGCTCATCTCTCTCTCTCTCTTCCCCTGGCAGGGCTGTCCCTACCCATACACAAATTACACGGCTGCCTACGGCACCAGGATTTCCTGGTCCCCTGCACCGCTGTGTGCTGCTCCAGCCCCTTCCCTGCCTCTTCCCCATCGCCCCAGCCCCTGCCCTGCCCCAACCCCACCTCTTCTCTCCCCTGCTCCACCCCCACTCCCTGAGGACTGCAGAAGCAGTCAGGCCTGCCCTCACCAGTAAGTAGAGCGACCCGCCCCAGCCTGTTCCACTCCCCTGGCTCCCCAGCCACTCCACCGGCAAGTACTGGGGGGTGGTTCTCCCCTGCCCCCCAAGTCTGGGAGCCAGGGGAATGGAGCAGGCTCGTCCAGGTCACTCCACTTCCCGCAGGAAGTGGCGAACTCCCCCCACCCCGGAGGACTAGGGTGGGCCACACAGAGCCCCCCAGCGGAGGCCTGGGACCCCACAGAGCCCCCCCCCCCCCCCCCAGCAGCAAAATAGCTAGGGTCGGCCCGGGCTCTGGGATCTTTTTATAGATCCCAAAGCCAGAAGGGACCATTGTGATAATGGAGTCTGACCTCCTGTGTCACCCAGGCCCTAGGGCTTCCCTGAACTGATTCCTCTGTGACCTACAGCAGATCTCTGAGAAAAACATTCAGGCTTGATTTAGAAATAATTAGCGCTGGAGAATCCACCACGACCCCTGGAAAATTGTCCCAGTGGTTAATTGCCCTCACTGCTAAAATCTGTGCTCTATTGCCAGTCTGAATTTGTCTAGCTTCAGCTCCCTCCTTTGGGTTGTGTTTGATCTTTGTTCAATTAAAGATCCATCGATTATCACATTTCTGTTCCCTAGATAGGAACCTTCTCGTTGATACACTAAACAGCTCGAGCTCCTGGAGTCTCTCACTTTAAGGCAGGTTTTGCAACCGTTTCGTCATAACCCTAACCCTGCCCTGCCCCCTCTCCAATTTATCTCCATCCTTGAATGGTGGAGACCAGAACTGGATGCAGGATTCCAGCAGCGGTCGCCCCAGGGCCAAATCCAGAGGTAAGATGGCTCCTCTCACCCTGGCATGTTTGTATGCCATGGACATTCGTGCATGTGCTATCACCCCACCCCTGAGAGGCAAGGAGGAGGAATTATCCCCATTCTAATGGGGAAAACTGAGGCCCAGAGTTCCTCAGGAGCTTAAAAGAGTTAGGCCCCAACAAATCTCATTGGGATTTTGGCACCAAACTCCCTTCGTCTCCTTGGAGATCCCCAATGGAAGTGACTGGTCCAAGGCCAAGGGGAGAGTCTGTGGCAGGACTGGGAACTTGACCCTCTCCAAGTCCCAGCGCACTGTTGAATTGTCAAGGCACATCTGGCTCAGGGCTTCCCATAATGTCTGCCATGGCACTACCTAGCAGTATAAATTGGACCCAGACCCATTGAGACCCAGTTCAGTGTCCAAACCACACATCCAATCTGCCACCACTGGGGTTTCTCGGTTGCTGACCATTGTTGTGTCTAGGTGGGTGATCAGCTCCCTGCTGCTCTAGGAAATAAACCCTGGTGTAGATTTTGCCAGGGAGAAGTGGCTGAGGAGCGGGGATGGGGAGGGCCTTTGATGGTCCTTGTACAGCCACCAAGCTCTCTATGTTCTCTCTCCAGATATACCTGGGCAGAGGTTGGAAAGCTGAGGCTGGGAGGATCATTGATGGAACTCGGACAGCCCCATTCCCATCGGCCGCCTCACCCCACGCTGTCCATCTCGAGACGTTGGGGAAAGGAGCTCAGCTGGAGGTGGGGGAAGGGGTTTGGGGGACTGGCATTCAGTAGAGATCCATGTGTGTTTGTGTGTCTCAATGTATGTTTGTGTCTATCCCTGCTGCCCCCTGCTGGTGGGGATCAGCCCTGCTCTGTGTGTGTGACATTCATCTCATTGGCAGCAGGTCCTGGATTCCCCAAAGGAGATGGGGTGTCTTGAGAATGTACAAACTCCAAGAGAAGCTGGGGACAGCGCAGAGCTCACACATCACATTGATGGAAACAGTGGGAGACTCCACAGATTTCATCCTGCCACCTGATGGCTCTACTCTGTATGCACAAGTGTATGATCCGGTGTTTTTCTGCATTACATATCTCAGGGTGTGCGTGTCACTGTTACCGGAGGAGATAATCTGGAAAACTGGAATCCTGTAACAGTGTGATCACTGGAAGGATCTGAACACGTGAACATAACAGACTCCCTGGAGAGGTACAGCTGGTGTGGGGGGCTCAGGGAGAGGGTGGGGGCTGCAGGGGTGTCTGGAAAAGACAATGGATGAGATTTCACTGCAGGAGAAGGGGCTCAGAGAGCCGGGAGGAGGAGATGCCGGGGAGAAAGTTGTTACTGGCTAACTGGAGCGAGGGGGGAAGGATACCCACAGGAGGAATAATTGCCCCCGGCAATTCAACTACATCCCAATCTGACCCTGCACCCCAATCTGGCATCACACCACACCCCAATATTACACTGCACCCTGACATAGCACTGCACCACACCCCAGGATCTTACTGCAACCCAATAGGAGAAGAAGTTGCAGCCCTAAACACCTCCACACTTCACCCAGTACAGCATTGACCTGCAACCCAATGTACCGTGTGACTTGTGTGTGATGTAGGAGATCAGGTAGGTTGGCCCCAGGGCTAAAGAGAAAGAGAAAGAGGCCTTATTCTGCACTGATATCGAGAGAAGGTCACTCCGCATGGATATGGCCTCTGCTGGAGCCTGGTGTATTGTGTAGTCACAGGAGTAGGGCCCTGGCTCAGCCTTGATTTCCATCTGATCCCAGTTGCTGGGGTTGGAGATTTCACCCAAGTGCTGGTAGAACCTGGATTTCATCCCTCGGACAGACCTGGGAGCTGAACAGATGAATGTGAGCGGTTCCCCTAAGAGATACATGGTGTATGGAGGGCGGACGGGGGACGGTGCAGAGAGAGCCTGGGGGCCAGCAGGGAGTCTGGAACAGAGGCAGGGGAGAGACTCCCAGGGAGTGAGGGGAAGAGCAGAAGGGGGAACAAGGCCCCAACAGAGGGCCTCAACCTAGTCCCACCTCCCTCTCTCGTGCCCCAGTGCCTGTGACATACTTGATGGCAGATATAAATGGGGGAGCTCTCCAGTAAACCTGTGGGAACAGTACCCCCTCCCCAGTACCTGCTGGGCCCAGCACAGCCTGGCTAAATCCTTTCCCACTGTCTGAGATCCAACCCCCACCCACCTAGATGGAAGGGGGGAGGGGGACAACTGGGATGGGATCCCAACAAGTATTGAGCAGCCTCCAGTCCCTGCTGGCCTCTCCACTCCTGCCCATTGGGTGTTGGAGTCTCTGGCAGTAACACGCTCACCACAGCAGTGCCTTCTCATTTTCCATTCTTTGCTGATCAGGTGGGACCCCCGTGCCCACCACTGAGTGTCTGAGATGCAGGGAATGGCCCTGACTAGAGGCAGGGAATTAAGCTGAGACTGTGGGGTGTGTCACCATATGGCAATTTTCTAGTAAAAGGGTGCATGCCTCAGTTTCCCCTATGTGCTACAGAGCTAAGGAGGTGGTGGGAAAAGATTGTTTACTCGTTGCAGAGACCCAGATATTGGGTGTGGCTGATGCCTAGCAGCCTGGGGCTTGGGGCCCCATGCCCATGAAGAGCCCCACAAGACAATGGCCACGCCAGCAACTAACGACCATGGATGGCCCCCCCTCTGCAGGAAGGCAGTGGGGTGTGTCCAGCTGGAGAACAAAGGGCTAAGGAGATGGGTCAGGTGACAAGGTTTCCCCGGTAACAAGAACAAAGGACTGAGGAGGGGCCAGGTGGGGTTGCTCAGTGTGGGCTGCTGGCAGCAGAAGACGCTCAGGGACTGGGACTACAGAGGGGCCAGAGGACTCCGGACTGACCCAGATGGACTTTGCTGTAACTTTCTGTTCTCTACGGTAACTAAGGTCTTTCTACGCTGGTTCCGAAATAGCCAATAAACCTCCTGCTGTTACCGCACTTGCTGAGAGTCACTGCAGTTTAAGGAAGGTGGGGGCGCGTTGCTCCCTTTGGGTGCGCAAGTGTCTGTCTCAGGTGTGCAATGAGGTGGTGTCGCTGCGGGGAGCTCGAGGTGTGACCCAGGGGTGCTGAAGGCTCCAAGGTTCAGTCCCAGGAGGTGCTGCAGCCAAATGGCCCCTAGTGAGACTGTGACCCTACGGGTGCTGACACATGGACGGGGCCCTCCCAGGCACGGCTCCAGAGCGGCTCTAGAGCACCGCACCTGAGGCTCTGTCACAGGGTGGGCGTCAGATCCCTAGAGACTCTCCCATCAAACAGCAGGAAAACCAGGGGCTCACCTGTCACTGTGATGGAGACAAAGTTGCTGTTCTCAGATGAGATCTCTGGATTGGATTCCCATCTCCAGTACGCACAGGTGTATGTCCCAGCATTTCCCTTCGCAGCTGTGAGCTCCAGCCGGGCGCCTTCATTCAGGTGTTGGACTACGCTGGGATCCCCTTGCCCTTTTTGATAGAAGAATCTGTATCCCAAAACCTGCTCAGACCCAGGAGCCGAGCACGTGAGGGTAACCCACTCCCCTGGGAGATACACTGTGTACTCGGGGTCCCGAGAGAGCGTGGGGGCCGGCAGGTGATCTAGAACAGAGGCAGAGGAGTCAATACATAGAAAGAAGCTATAATGGGATGAGGAGAAGGGAGAAAGGGGAAGAGATGAGTCCTGGACAGACATGATTGCAAGCCAGCCTCATCTCACTGCCCAGCACCCACCCCCCATACTGGTAAATACACCATGGCAAATGAACCACAGCCCGTGTCTCTCTCTCTCCCCCTCCCTATGAGATCTTTTCATAGATCCCAAGGCCAGAAGGGACCATTGTGATCATGGAATCCAACATCCTGTGTTACCCAGGCCCAGGGCCAGCTCTAGGATTTTTGCCACCCTAAGCAAAAACAGGTTTGGCCGCCCCTCGTTTTTTCTTACCCCACCCCCGGCCCCGCCTCAACTCTGCCCCCTTCTCCAAATCCCCAGCCCTGCCTCCTCCCCTCAAGCCTAGGAGGGAGGGAGGGAGAGGGAGAAGCAGCGTGCGCGCCGCGGCCACTCGGGGTCTCCCCCTCTCTCCCAGGCTCTCAAACCTGGGAGGGAGGGGGAACAGCAGCGCGCAAATCAGCTGTTTTGCGCGCCGCGGCCATTCAGGATCTCCCCCTCCCTCCCAGGTTTGAGAGCCTGGGAGGGAGGGCGAGCAGCGGCGCGCGAGCGGCAGCAGCGGAGGTGAAGTAGGGCGGCCAGGGCACATTTTTAGGGGCGACATGGCCGGCGCCAGAATGCCGCCCCTAGAAATGTGCCGCCCCAAGCACCAGATTGTTTTGCTGGTGCCTAGAGCCAGCCCTGCCCAGGCCCTAGGACTTCCCTGAACTGATTCCTCTGTGACCTAGAGCAGATCTCTGAGAGAAACATTCAGGCTTGATTTAGAAAACTCCAGCAATTGAGATTCCACCTTGACCCTGGGGAAATTGCCCCAGTGGTGAATTCCCCTAACTGCTAAAATCTGCACCTTATTGCCAGTCTCAATTTGTCTTGCTTCAGCTCTTAGCCTTTGGGTTGTGTTTGATCTTTGTCGGTTCAATTGAAGAGCCGTCGATTATCAAATTTCTGTTCCCCAGATAGGAACCTTCTCGTTGTTACGCTAAACAGCTCGAGCTCCTGGAGTCTCTCACTCTAAGGCAGGTTTTACAACCGTTTAATCAGGACCCTAACCCTGCCCTGCCCCCTCTCCAATTTATCACCATCCTTGAATGGGGGAGACCAGAACTGGATGCAGGATTCCAGCAGCGGTCAGCCCAGGGCCAAATCCAGGGGTAAGATGGCTTCTCTCACCCTGGCATGTTTGTATGCCATGGATATATGTGCATGTGCCATCACCCCACCCCTGAGAGGCAAGAAGGAGGAATTATCCCCATTCTAATTGGGGAAACTGAGGCTGAGAGTTTATCAGGCACTTAAAAGAGCTAGGCCTCCAAGAAATTTCAATGGGATTTTGGCACCAAACACCCTTTGTCTCCTTGGAGATCCCCAAGGGACGTCACTGGTCCAAAATCACGGGGAGAGTCTGTGGCAGGCTGGGAACCAGACCTTCTCCAAGTCCCAGCGCACTGTCAAATTGTCCAGGCACATCTGGCTCAGGGCTTCCCATAATGTCTACCATGGCACTACCTAGCAGTATAAATTGGACCCAGACCTATTGAGACCCAGTTCAATGTCCAAACGACACATCCAGTCTGCCACAACTGGGGTTTCTCAGTTGCCGATCGCTGTGGTGTCTAGGTGGGTGACCAGCTCCCGGCTGCTCTAGGAAATAAACCCTGGTGTAGATTTTGCCAGGGACAAGTGGCTGAGGACCAGGGATGGGGAGAGCGTTTGATGGTCCTTGTACAGCCACCAAGATCTCCACGTTCTCTCTCCAGCTGTAACTGGGCAGAAGGTGGAAACCTGAGGCTGGGGGCTGGCAGGGAGTCTGGAGTAGAGGCAAGGGAAAGACCCCCATGGAGTGAGGGTGTCGCGGGGTGGTCACCCCGCTCCAGCGCTGAAGGGGTTAAAGCTGCCCTGGAGAGGGCTGTGGCTGGAAAAAGCTAGGCTGATTGGAGAAGCAGCCACAGCTGAGGCCATGCCCCAACTAGGCTACAGCTGGCCCTATAAGAGGGCTGAGGGCCAGAGGCTGTAGGAGAGACTCTCTCTCTAGAAGCTAGAGAGTGAAGGCCCTGGCTGCTGGGAGCTGAGGTGGGTACCGAGGGTGGAGCAGTGCTGGGGAAGGCAGAGGGAGCTGGGGAGCTCCAGCCTAGCTAAGCCAAGCCCCAGGCTGAGTTAAGGGCCCACAACAAGGGCACTAGGGCTGCAGAGGGGCTGCCCAGGAATAGGCAGACGCAGCTGGTCCAACCCCCCTGGCTGATGATGAGTGGGTTATAGACGGCATCTGCCCCAGGGAGTGGGGGCTAAATGGAGACTGGCAGTAGCCACTGAGGCAAGGTGATGATAGGGGTTTGGGGGTTCCCCTGGGAGGGGAGTTTGTGGGTTGCTGGTAGGGGGCAGAACCCTGATGTAAAGGACACTGGGGTCTGGGAAGGACATGGGGTCCAGGGGCAGGTGAGACACCGGCCTGTAGAGGCTGCTCCAGAGGCTGGAAGAGCTAATTCCTGAGATGACCAGCAAGAGGCGCCGCAGGGGTGAGTCTCACTTTGCTACAGAGGGGAAGAGCAGATGGGGGAACAAGGCCCCAACACAGGGCTTCAACCTAGTCCCACCTCCCATTCTCCTGCCCCATGACTGTGACATACTTGATGGCAGATATACATGGGGGAGCTCTCCAGTAAACTTGTGTGAACAGCGCCCCCTCCCCAGTACCTGTTGGGCCCAGCACAGCCTGGCTAGATACTCTCCCAGTATCTGAGCTCCAACCCCCACCCACCTGGACGGGAGATAGGGTGACCAGACAGCAAGTGTGAAAAATCGGGACGGGGGTGGGGGGTAATAGAAGCCTATATAAGAACAAGCCCCAAATATCGGGACTGTCCCTATAAAATCGGGACATCTGGTCACCCTAACGGGAGAGGTGAGGGGGACAACTGTGGGGGGATCCCACCAATAAATGAGCCACCTCCGGTCCCCGCTGGACTCTCCCCTCCTGCCTGGTGGGTGCTGGAGTCTCAGCCAGTAACACGCTCACCCTAGGGAGTTGTGGGGCTGGGCTCTCAACAGAGAGTGCGTTGGAGGGGGGAAGAGTTGCTGATGCAAATGGTTCAACCCCAAGACCCCCATTTCCATCAGGGTATTCACCCCATGTTCTGCATTCTGGGGGCAGAGGCAGAAGATTGGGGAGAACCCGTCAGCCGACCATCAGACCTGCCTAGCCGTAGCTAGAAAGTACTGCACAGAAATGAGGAAGCCAGGGTGGATGTGGGGAAGGGAGGGGGGAGTTTTTCCACCCACCGCGTTTCCTCTCACTGCTCCCCTGTATCTCACTGAGCCCCAACCCTGCACAGTGCCCACATGTTTCCCAGCAGGAGGCAGGGACACTCTGTGTAGGATCCGCTGGCTGCACTGGGTTGCCCAGTGCACAGCAGGGGTACGGGACAGGTAATCTCCGTCTGAGCTTGCGAATAAACCAGTCACTCCACTGGGACCAGGGACCTTTTCAGAGACCAAATCCCTGCTTTGAGAGAAGAATTTGTATCCTATGGTGATTTCACCCCCGAATGCCGAGCACCTCAGGGTAGCACCTTCCCCTCTGATACATGAAGGCAGCAGAGGATGCTGGCGTACTGGTGCCAGCAGGGGGTCAGGGTAACATGACAGTAACCAATCCCTCTCCTGATAGAAATCATGACTGAGGAATCCAGGCAGCAGCACGGATGAAGATTCACAGCGGGTGGCCCCGACAGTGCCCAACCAGATCTCCAGTGGTGTGAGCTTCCCCAGAGCAGTACCCACCTGGGACCCCAGTGCTGGAGCTACCCCACAGCAGTGCCCTCTCAGTGCCCATTCTTTGCAGTCTGGTGGGACCCCCGTGCCCACCACAGAGTGTCTGAGATGCAGGGAGTGACCCTCACTAGAGGCAGGGAGTAAAGCTGAAGTGTTGGGGGGGGGGGGGGCGAGCGGGCGTCTGTCTTTTATAAGGG